ACAAAGAGCTCGTCGTAAATGGTTACGTTGATGCAAGCTTTGACATTGATCCGGATGATTCTAAATCGCAAACCGGATACGTGTTTACATTAAACGGTGGAGCTGTCAGTTGGTGCAGTTCTAAACAAAGCGTCGTAGCGGGATCTACATGTGAAGCGGAGTACATAGCTGCTTCGGAAGCGGCAAATGAAGGAGTCTGGATGAAGGAGTTCATATCCGATCTAGGTGTCATACCTAGTGCATCGGGTCCAATGTAAATCTTTTGTGACAATACTGGTGCAATTGCCTTGGCAAAGGAATCCAGATTTCACTAGAGAACCAAGCACATCAAGAGACGCTTCAATTCCATCCGGGATCTAGTCCAGGTGGGAGACATAGAGATTTGCAAGATACATACGGATCTGAATGTTGCAGACCCGTTGACTAAGCCTCTTCCACGAGCAAAACATGATCAGCACCAAGGCTCCATGGGTGTTAGAATCATTACTGTGTAATCTAGATTATTGACTCTAGTGCAAGTGGGAGACTGAAGGAAATATGCCCTAGAGGCAATAATAAAGTTATTATTTATTTCCTTATAATCATGATAAATATTTATTCTTCATGCTAGAATTGTATTAACCGGAAACATAATACATGTGTGAATACATAGACAAACAGAGTGTCACTAGTATGCCTCTACTTGACTAGCTCGTTAATCAAAGATGGTTATGTTTCCTAACCATGAACAAAGTGTTGTTATTTGATTAACGAGGTCACATCATTAGTTGAATGATCTGATTGACATGACCCATTCCATTAGCTTAGCACCCGATCGTTTAGTATGTTGCTATTGCTTTTCTTCATGACTTATACATGTTCCTATGACTATGAGATTATGCAACTCCCATTTACCGGAGGAACACTTTGTTTGCTACCAAACGTCACAACGTAAATGGGTGATTATAAAGGAGCTCTATAGGTGTCTCCAAAGGTAGATGTTGGGTTGGCGTATTTCGAGATTAGGATTTGTCACTCCGATTGTCGGAGAGGTATCTCTGGGCCCTCTCGGTAATGCACATCACTTAAGCCTTGCAAGCATTGCAACTAAATGAGTTAGTTGCGGGATGATGTATTACGGAACGAGTAAACAGACTTGCCGGTAACGAGATTGAACTAGGTATAGGAATACCGACGATCGAATCTCGGGCAAGTAACATACCGATGACAAAGGGAACAACGTATGTTGTTATGCGGTCTGACCGATAAAGATCTTCGTAGAATATGTAGGAGCCAATATGGGCATCCAGGTCCCGCTATTGGTTATTGACCGGAGACGTGTCTCGGTCATGTCTACATTGTTCTTCAACCCGTAGGGTCCGCACGCTTAAGGTTACGATGACAGTTATATTATGAGTTTATGCATTTTGATGTACCGAAGGTTGTTTGGAGTCCCGGATGTGATCACGGACATGACGAGGAGTCTCGAAATGGTCGAGACGTAAAGATTGATATATTGGAAGCCTATGTTTGGATATCGGAAGTGTTCCGGGTGAAATCGGGATTTTACCGGAGTACCGGGAGGTTACCGGAACCCCCCGAGAGCTATATGGGCCTTAGTGGGCTTTAGTGGAAAGGAGAAAGGGGCAGCCCAAGGTGGCTGTGCGCCTCCCCCCTTCCCCTAGTCCTATTAGGACTAGGAGAGGTGGCCGGCCCCCTCTCTCTCTTTCCCCCCTCAAGGAATCCTATTCCAACTAGGATTGGGGGGGGGATCCTACTCCCAGAGGGAGTAGGACTCTCCTGGCGCGCCCTCCCTTGGCCGGCCAGCCTCCCCCCTCTAGTCCTTTATATACAGAGGCAGGGCACCCCAAAGAACACACAAGTTGATCCACGTGATCTATTCCTTAGCCGTGTGCGGTGCCCCCTGCCACCATATTCCTCGATAATACTGTAGCGGAGTTTAGGCGAAGCCCTGATGCTGTAGTGCATCAAGTTCATCACCACGCCGTCGTGCTGACGGAACTCTTCCCCGACACTTTGCTGGATCGGAGTCCGGGGATCGTCATCGAGCTGAACGTGTGCTCGAACTCGGAGGTGCCGTAGTTTCGGTCCTTGATCGGTTGGATCGTGAAGACGTACGACTACTTCCTCTACGTTGCGTCAATGCTTCTGCAGTCGGTCTGCGTGGGTACGTAGACAACACTCTCCCCTCTCGTTGCTATGCATCACCATGATCTTGCATGTGCGTAGGATTTTTTTTTGAAATTACTATGAAACCCAACAATAGTGTCATAGTGGACAAGTTATAAATCCTTGCGTATTTCTCCTTCGCAACACTCCATCAAAATTGGAGTTGCGTTGTCTCGCCGTGGGTGGCTGGGTGGTTTGCCTAGATCTTCATGTGGCTTTGCACGACTTCTATGAAGTGGGATGAATCGATGGTCATACGCAGCGAAGTAGGAGTCGCTTGCTCAAGGAGAAGTGATGACTATGACACCAATTTGCTACCTCGATGACTTTGTCTTCATGATGATGCGTGCGGGGTATCTTGTGTGCACCGAGTAGCGGATTGTGACACTTTTAGCCTGGTTTTCCATTATTTAACTGGGTCGCTCTTTTCATCTTAATTAATAATGTGGCAAATATATTGCATCCACTTCAAATAAAAATATAGTGGAAAAGCGCACCTTATATATAACGCCAACACGAGGTCTATTCTTGATGGATCGACTTGTTCTTTAACAATGATACCTCAAAGTGTGCTTGACATCAGGTGTCAAGTGGAGAAGCATTCACTTTGTATATAATACTCACACGGGGTTTGTTCCTGGTGGAATGATTTTTAGTGTAATATTGGAAGTGGAGGAATGCATAAAAGTTTTGAACTGCTTAAATGGAACTAATTTAGCCGTAAATTCACAGTTATATAATGGACACAATAATGATATTTTCCTGAATTGGTGAGGGACACAAAATCTTGAAGAAGGGAAGAACATTCCAACAGAGGCGGAGAACACGAGGTATGTTCTTGACTGGCCGACTTTTATCCTTCTTTCGACATCAAGGGTCGAGTTGACAAGGATGCACCTTATATAAAACATCCACACGGAGCTTGTTCCTGACGGACTACTGTAATATCAAAAAACAATATATGTAAAAGATTTCAACAACTTAATGTGACTAATTTATCCATAAATTTACATCAATATAACGAATGCAATTATAAGCCGGGGATGAGTGAAGGACACAATAAAATCTAGAAGAAGGGAAGAACATTCTAGCACGGGCTGAGAACACGAGGTATGTTTGTGACAGACTGACTTTTTTGTCCTTTAAGATGAAATGCAAAAGCTGCTCGACATAAAGTGTTGAGTTGACAAACAAGCACCTTATATATAATATTCACGCGGAACTTGCTCTGCCCGGAGATAATTTTGTCCTCTTAAGATGATATTGTAATATTGGAAATGAAAAAATGTACGAAAGATTCCAACTCCTTAGATATAGCTAATTTAGCCATGAATTTGTAGTTATATAGGGACACGGTTATACTCTCTAGATGAGTGAGGGACATGACAAAATCTTCAAGAAAAGATGAAAACTCTAACAATAAGCGGAGAACAAGATGAATACCAGAGGGTTGGAGGGGGGAGGGGGAGTGGCGTAAATGGTTGATCACCACTACTTCACATTGAGGGTTCAGACACCGTTTACATATGCCAACAAGAATTTTGCCTGATTGATTCTTTGATAATTCATTTATCACGGAGATAATCGTTAATAATTTTAAAGGATTGGATCTTAGGGTACTACCTCTTTTCTAGGGTTTTTTCACGATACTAAGGACTACATATTTTGAGTTGTCACAAAAGGCTTTGACTATCGATTACCTCATTAATATCAGATATACTACTATTATGTGATTAAAAACAAAATCAGAAATCATCTAATAAAAATCTATTGATGTTATTTTTATACAAAGTATTTGGCGCAATTTTTTTATACAAAGCACTTGTATTCCCTGCAAAAAAAGAAGACTACTACTAGTAGTATTTTGGGAAGCAAAGTGTGTGAAGGAATTTTACAAGTGGCACCCATCAAGTGGCTCACAACATATTCCTGAATGCAATCTGCCTATACGGTGCGTAGTTTTACACGGTAGAGTAAATTTGTACCATCCACAGAAAAGACTAATCACCCAATACGGTCAGTCGCAGTCCATGGATTTGGATTCGGCGTCAGTCTATCGGTTCTTGTCCAATAGGGCACCCCCCATATCGCTCTCCACTTGATAAGGCTCGATCGATGAGACCACGTACGCACCTATTGTGATTTTTCTACATCGAGCAAACTACACTTGCGATTTTGTATCGTGGTTTTGTACCGCACATGCGTATTTTATTTCATTTTTGCATGGTACCACACTTGCGTATTTGCCACGGTATAAAATACCAGGGTACTCGTACGTACCGAGTATTGTTGAGAAAATACAAAAGCAACGGATTCACTATTTATATACGTGGTGTACCGAGAACTGCATTAATTTTGGAAAGAACATCCAGGTCATACCAATCGTGTTATTAATTGTGACCACTCGAGAAAAAGTTTTATTTACAGTTTTGCTAAAGCACATCTAGATGTGCCATAAGTATTGCACATCTAAATTATATGTCATTGATCTTATATTGAGATTCGTGTGAATATTGTATTTCTTTTTTTTTTCTTTATACTTGATTCACTCATTTAGATGTGTAATAATTAGAGCACATCTAGATGTGTTAAAGACTATTTTCATTGCTAATTGGCGACTGAATGAACAGAGCAGCTAAGAATTGAAGAAAAGGACTAAATAAATTAACAAAGTCCAACTTGAATATCTGATTTGACCCTATGATAATAATTTTCTGAACATGTAACTGTTTCTGATGATATATTATAAGAAGCAACAAACTAATGGCTGGAAAAAACTTTTTCCAGAACGAAAAAAAATTCCAATTGTCTACTGTATCATCTTTTCCCATTCACTCGGTTTCATCGGCGGCGGCATTCAGGTCAATCTTCGGCTTCTTCCCGCTGCTGTGGACGGCGGGCTTGGTGGGGAGCGGCGGCACCTTGGACGCGCACCGCGGGCACCGGGGGTCGGCCTCGGCGATGAGCACGTACGTGAGGCAGGACGGGCACGCGGACGCGCGCATGGCCGGGTTCGCGGGGGGCGACGCCGTGCTTGAAGGCGGCGAGCGGCTGCGCTTTCCCAGGGAGGGGCACGACGACGAGGTGGACGCAGACGAGGAGGACGAAGTGTCCGGCGAGCGGGCTGACCGCGCGGCGGCGGCGCGCTGTAGGGCGTCGCGGACCATGTCGAGGGTGCAGACCGCCGCGCATGTGGTGACGGCGGCGGCGGGAGCGGTTGTCGCCGTGGGAGGCAGGTTGAGGTCCGGCTGCCCGTCTTGGGCGGCCTGGTGGCGATGAGGGGTCAGGAACGTCTTGCCGGACTGCACAAAAACAAGAAACTCACTCTGTTATAATTTGAAACAAGATCAAAGACGGGTATGAACACGAAGAACAGAAAACTCTGTGATTCAATCCAACAGAACCAGAAAATTCGATCGTCATGCTCATAAACCGATCGAAGAACATGGATTTGATCTGCCGACAAAACCTAACCCAGCAATCGAATTTCATCTCGGACAGGAACCACACGGGCGCGAATTGATTAAGCACCAACCATGCACGCACGCGCGTGTTACAATCTTGTTCATACATAGACGAACAGACCATCTTGAGATCGCAAGAACAGGGGAGGAGAAACGAATGGGCGAGACAACACGAGGAGGACTCACCAGCAGATCAAGCCGTCGCTCCCAGCCGGCGGGCACCTTGACCTCGAGGTCGACGACCTCGTCCTGCCCGCCGGCGTCGCCGCCGCACCCGCCGAGCAGATCCATGGTCACCATCTCCGGCGCCTTCCCGGCGGCGCCGGCCCTACGCTTCCCCGCCTCCCCGCGGAGCATCCTGGCGATGGAGCTCACCTCCGCCGCCATTCTCCTCTTCCCTTTCTCGGCGGTCCTCTGCTTCCTCTTTTCTGTGTTTGTCTGTCGTTCTGCCGAGGGAGAGAACAGAGATCGGTGGGGTGCTTGGCAGTGCGTGGTGGGGCGCCGCTATATATATCGGGAGGCCGCCGGCGCGACGGACACGCGGGGCCCACGTGCCAGCGAGCATGGAGGGTAGGGAGAGCCATTAAGGATCATGTATTAATGGCCGTCGTTGGGAAATGGTTGGAAGATTATTAATGCCAATTAACTGCCCGAAACAAATTTGGGGTCGCTGACGTGTTTAATTCACTCGAATCGAAGAGCCGGGATTTGAATTCGTTTCCGTTTAAAGTAGTCATTTACTGCCCCGCATAAGTACATGAATGGGCTGGATTTAAATCCTGGAAGAACCCTTGGGCTGCCGCTGCAATATCATGCTGGATTTATGTGCATTGATCCATTCCATTTAATCGTTTCCCGTTTTATTGTTCATCTAGAAAACAGATGCAACCACTAAATTCATTGGTACCATATTCAATAGTATCCGCCCATCCATATTTTAGGTCACAAAAAATTGAGCATTGCCGTGTCGTATAATACATACTCCTATATAATCAATGAAAAAGATTTTTTGGAGGAAAATTAACTGATATATTTATATTGGATTATATCGCTACGATTAATGTCTAATCGATTCCGGAGTACTATATTATGCGATGCAAAAAAGAGAATATATTCATATTGGATTAAATCGTAACGATAATGTCTAATCGATTCCGGAGTACTACTATATTACTGGTGCAAAAGAAAGGCAAAGTTGAGGATACTGCATCCAGAGTACTATATATTTATATTGGATTAAATCGCAACGAATAATGTCTAATCGATTCTAGAGTACTATATGTCGTGGTGCAAAAAAAAATGCAAACTCGGGCATACTAGCATCCCGCAGTCGGCATTTAAGAAAAATGAGAGCCACGGGCGAGCCTCGTGCTTCGAACCCAGGCGGGCAAGGCGTAGACAGGCGCTGCTAGCCACTCGAGCTTTGCTCTGTTCTTGTGGTGATGCAAAATATCAAGAGTTTTTTTATCCCCCAGGTGACGGTGAGATGGTTCTCGGCATGAAAATTGTAAGATGGAATTGCCATGATCTTGGCATGGATGTGGAAATTCCTTTGCTCTTGCATGTTCAATAGCAAATGAAGTCCGAACTAACCTTTGTGACTAAGATGTGCCTCAATTAAGATTGGGCTTATATAATCCATTTGAATTAGGATTTAATTTCATTTTTTTTTGAGGGTAGTGATGGTTGTAGTGCCAATCTTGTGTTAATGTGGAACATCAGTGATATTATTTCGTGGTATAATGGCAAATTTTATGGATGTTATTATTTGTGATGATAATGATTCAACTTGGCGATTCACTAGGTTCTATGGTGATCCATGATGGGACTGTAGGGATTGGCCGTGAGAATATACAACATCATCTCGATCTTGTTTTTGGCTTGTTGTGGGAGTTTTTAACAAAATTCTATATGGGCACGAGAAGGGAGGTAATATTGAGTTGGCGGTTATAATGCAAGCATTCAGAGATTGCTTGTGATTGTAATTTTGATCACATAGGTTACATTCATGACTCGTTTATGTGGAGAACATGAGAGATCCCGGAAAGGCCAGACATTGAGCTTTTGAGTCCCATCTATTCTAGTCGATTCCAGAAAGTGCGAGTGCCATGCCGTTTCTTCTCTTGATATTCACCTGGGTATCACACTTAGTCGGACTTGACACAGAGGACTCACAACATGTCCTCTACATTTGTTCATGGGCGCCCTCTGCTCTGGCTCCTGCCAAATCTGGAATGGCTGCATGGTGTATTTTTTCCCTCCTTGGGGGTGTCTCTAAGATGGTTCTCGCCACGAAAATTGTAAGGTAGAAGTGTTAGTGGTTATGGCACGGATGTGGAAATTATTTGCTCTTGGATGTTTATCAATTGAGGTTTGCTGACGTGATCTTTATGTCTATGATGTGCCTCAAAAAAGGTTGGATATATGTAATGCATATGTATTAGGATTGAAATTCATGTTCACCGCTGATATTGATTATTGCAGCGTCGGTCTTATGTTAATTCAATGCATCAATAATAGTTACTTTGTAGCATATGGGAAAAAATTATAGATGTTATTGTTGGCAATGTTAATGATTTAGCATGGAGGTTCATGGCATCCCATGGTAAGCAAAAATGGGATTGTAGAGATTGGTCATGGGAATATACTAGGCAACTTCATCTTGAGCTTCAGCTGTCATGGCTTATTATGAGAGGCAACAATAGATTAATGATTATAATACAAGCATTCCAAGATTCCTTATAAGACCGTGACCCTCATCACATGGGTTACATTGGTGATACATTTATGTGGAGTAGAGGAGAGACACAAGAAACGGTAGACATGTCAGTGCACAACGGAGTCACTACTCCCATCGGTGAGGAAAAAAATTCAATATTTGGTTTAGAAAGTATGCCAATGAACTAATGGATGGAAAGAAAATAAAATTTATCCATAGAAGAGGATGAGGTGCTTATAAAATCGGTGACTCAAGTGATCCTACTATAAGTTGTACCGATCTTCAAAATTCCTAACTTTCCAGACGACAACCTTCGACAACTCAATTAAGAAAGGTGTATCGTTTACAATGTAAATCATAACGGTTGGGATATGATGTTTCAAAGATAGGTGCATTTGAAGGGTTGGGAGTGGAAATAGTATCAAAATATGGGATGATCCATGGATACATAATAGTCCTCCATGGTATATTTTTACAAGGATAGGTACATAATATGCTTGTTTATTTTCTAAAGAAGGCTTTCATTCAAAAATAATAGAGTTTTGAGTACAATCTACATGAATTAGCCACTAAATGTGGGGTGGATAAAAGTCCCACTGCATCTCCACCCCATTTACTCTCCATTTTCATGAGCCAACACATTGCCATCTCTCTCCATTTTCATAACCTTGTATGACATTCCACCCAAATACTCTAGACTCTCTTTGTACACATTGTGCCATTTAGAACGATTATACCTTAGGCCAATAGCCCATGCCACCATAGAGTAATCATCTTCTAATAAGATTCTGCCAGACCTGAGCTTCATAGCAAGCCCCGATTTCCGCCTCTTATGCAGCGCACCACCACCCAAGTAAAATATCCATCTCGGCAACACCTTCTCCCCCGTGCATAGCGATAATACCGTCATACGAGCAACCATCCTCCTTTAGGAACGATGCATCAATGTCAATCTTCAACCAATCCACTTATGCCTATGCCAAGAGGTTAATCTTTAGGTAATATGTGTGTTTCCATTGTGGACGAACAAGTTGATTCAACCACTGGTCATTAAGATGGGTAGCTTATACGTGATCTGTTATGGCCTATTGATGTTGAATATATTATTTAGATTCCAATAATCCAGAGCTTTGAAGATTTTGTTGTATGTTTACATACTAAGTTATGCGTATTTTTAGTCAGATTAGCTTGTCATTGAGTGGGAACACGAGCGCAAAGAAAATTAAGGCGAATGATGTGCCAAGGGATAAAAATGTTTAATCCTCATAAGAGTAAACTTCAGGAGGTTCTAGCTTCGGGAATTCTATTTTGATATTTAAATGTCTTCATGGGATTTTGTTGTGCTAGACAATTTTGGCTAATAGACATATCAACATGCAAGCCTAGTGCATGTTTGCTCGAATGTGCTGAAGATATCTAGCATGCACTCTTAAAAATGTGATCGAGCAACAGTTGTTTGGAGAACTCTAGGTTTAAAAAACTAATCCATGAAGATGTCATGTTATAAAAAGAAGTCTCCAACCTTGGGGCATGGAGGACTACATGGAATTCTAGTAGTGACATTGTGGCATATCCGGCGGGAACATCGTCTATTTATCAGTGACGATCACCGACTAGGTCAAAGAGCCGAATTACCCAGCCATGTCAATTGCAATTGTCATGAACTATGAGAAGAAAATGTTGATGAAAATAAAAATCAACTCACATAGTCAGGAGCACTCGCCCAAGAAACATGATCAAGATCAATGTTGATGTACCTTTCAATGCAGAGTAATTGTCATGAGCCACTCGTGCAGTGGTTAGGGTGACATGAGTATGTTTATCAGTGTTGCAAACAAGTTGCTACTCCTGGTTTATGTTGTTGGCACATTGGACGCTTACACAATGTTGTGCGTCATTTACCTCACTCAACATTTGGTTCGCAATTGAGTCATCATCAACTCGAATTGTCTCGACATGACCAACACTATGAATAACGATGGTCATACATTTGGAGCTAATATGGACATCGAAGCCTCGCGAGTAATCTAGAACTAGTAATTTTATTGTCCTAGAGAAGCAAATATGGTTGAAGATGAGTTTGCTAAGTGTGCTTGATCATAATCAACTTGCTGCTTACAAGATGGACGACTTCAAGTTCTCAAGCCACAATGAGTGGATGATGCAATTGTTTTTCTTTTAAAAAAAACTAGGTTTTACAAATCATGGCACCACACTACATCTTGTTTCTTCCTTTGTCGTCCTTTCATCTCAGTATCTTTTATTTTCTTTTTATCCTTCACAACCACCATTGCACCACATCTTGACCCCTCCGAGTTCGCCACTTGCACAACATATATATGTTGGTATTGGTATGGTCCTATTGCCGAGCCATACCTTTTCTCTCCATCATCCCCCAACCCATTCCTACACTAGTTAATCATATCATCATTGTTCACTAATAGCAAACAAGCATGTCTACACCATCGTCATCATTTCCCATTTTACCTCCACATCTAGGTTGTCAATGAACCCCTCATGAACCCTAAGTGGACTTAATCAAACTATAACCCTAACGCCAATTCATGTCAATATTTGTGTCATGTAATCTTGTCGTTTTTAAATTGAAGCAACAACTAATTTTACTACTCTAGACAGAAACAATTAAATAGTCATGAGAAATCATTTT